ATTGAACGTGATTTTTGTTTAAACACTGGTTTGGATTTGCTCGTACTTTGCCCAAGCGAAAAAATCACAAAAAGGGTTCAGGAAAGTGTTCCACCACCCTGAGTGAACCACACAACAAAGGCTACGGCTTCATGCGAGTGTAAGCTAAGCTATTAAGTGAACTGCAACGTGAAAACCAAACACTCTCGACAGAGGTTCCTTTCTCAGCTTTTTTCTTTCTGCAAGACGGAAAGGCGGACGGTAGCTTCCAAGGTTTTTGGTCGAAGTGGGTCTCACAGCAAGCTGCTGCAATATGCTACGTGGGAATCCCTTGCCAGGATGCATCGGCTCCGGTGCACCGGCCAGCTGGAAGTCCGACGCTGCACAAGCCACTATCGACAAGTCCGGCTGGGCCCCGGTCCCTGGTCTCCACTGCTGCTCTGGGCTTTGGTTGTTTGGCGAAAGCCCCTGCCTGCTGCACCTTTACGCCCGCCATCGCCTGCTGGCCCTGGTGGCCAGCGTCCTTCTTGTGTGGGCGGAGACTTTTCAAAGCGGAGATAAACGGAGGCTGCGGTTCGAGCGCAGCTATTGCACACGCTGTAGCGAAACCCTAACCTCCGGTCTGCCGAACTCCGTTCCAGACTGGTTGGGTTTCACCCGAACTCAACAGAAGCCGCTGACTAGAGTTGAATCTGAAGCTCCGGGCCTGCAAGCTTGCAAATGGGACAAACGGAAAGCTAAACTTCCTTTGCAGCGAAGACATGAAAACAATGCCTCTACTCGATACAAGAAGAAGGAAGCCACACGAAAACGCTTTAGAGGCTTGATAAAAGTTAACAACATTTGATTTGACCAACATAAAACGTCTTTTCTTCCGCACAAGAAAACCACTAAGACCAAAGCAAGATCCGAAAACCTCAAAGCAATCAGCGACGGGAGTCATCTTGAGTTCATCATGGATTCATCATGGATTCATCTTGAAGTCATCATGGATTCATCTTTGGAGTCATCCTCGGAAAAAAGGCGGGTTTCCTCAAGGCTGAAAACTCACAATCTCGCCTCGACGGAGAAATTGGGTTTTTCACCGTCCTCTTCCCCACGCTGCAAAAACTTCCAAATCTCACCTTGATTCCGGAAATCTTTCAGTTACCGAAGGGAGCGTAGAGGCAGGCGTTGAGCGTCTGTTTGTATTTTCCATCGCGACACCGCCACCCCCGCCCCTCTTTCAATGCTTTCCTCGTGGCGGGGCTGTCCATTCAGGTTGAGTCGTTCTACGGGACTCTGGTTCCCATTTCGATAGCCAGACATGTAGTGAGAAAAGCAGCTAGCGTCTCCTTTGCAAGAGTTTATATACGGAAGGCATCGCCGGCCATACTTTGAGTGATCATCTTTGCTTTGCACTCTCGCTCGGTGGCCCAGCAAACAGTGCAATACTCTGCGCGATTATTTTTGTTTCTCGCCCTTTTAGTGTGAAAGTTTAGCGTTTGTGCGTTGCTGTGCGGTTGCTTTGTACCTTGGTCCATCCGCTGGCATCGGGGCTTCAAGATGCGCACTGAGCCTAGACTTACGTCTTGCGGACAAAATGGCGCCTGCATCCGCTTGACCTAGCAGACTTCACGAAGCAAGTAGTGCTGCCAGTTGCCAGCGGAGCCTCGGAGAGGCTTTCGCCATGGCCGACCTGGCCTCTCCGACGAACGACCTCCAGAGGACCGCGATGGAAATGAGCCCGACTACCGACCACGTGCAGAGCACTGGCCTGCTTGGAGGTGCCTCCGGTGCGACAGCGTTGACTTCGAGTCCGCAGGCTGGGGAAGCTGGGTGTGCCGACTTTGTGGCTCCAACAGCTTCTATGACAGCATGTCCCCGACGCGGCGTGAATCCGAGCAAGGCACTTGGGTCTATGTGCCTAGACCCCAGGCAGAGTACGACGCGGTTTCCCGCTCCTCTGCCTCTACTTCTACAGCCTCCTGGGCACCACCGACTATGCCACCTCTCCTACTTCGCCGGGGCTGGTTCCCGGGACCCTTCCTCGACGAGACCTTCGAAAGCCTTCGAAGCCTTCGAAGGTCGACGGGTCGAAGGGGGCGGGGGGGGGGGCCGCCGAAGGTGAGGAAGCCTTCGAAGGCTTCGAAGGTGAGGACGAAGGCTTCGAAGCCCCCTTCGAGGCCTTCGAAGGCTTCGAAGCCTTCGAGGCCGAGAACGAAGGGACTTTCGAAGCCTTCGAAGCCCCCTTCCAAGCCTTCAACGGCTTGGAAGCCCCCTTCAAAACCCTTGAGGCCCCTTCAAAGCCTTCAAAGGCTTCGAAGCCCCCGTCCGAGCTTTCAAAGGTTTCGAAGCTTCCTGCGACTTCCAAATGCACACGTTTTCTCCAACGCTGTTTGACGCCACCGTCTTGTTTGTTGCATGCGAACCATGGACTGCCAAACTTCTTTGGAAGTCTGAAAGCGAAGAAAGAGACTTGGAATGGCAACAGCAATTGGAGTCAACAAAGATAGAAGCCGGAACACTCTGACATCACACAAGATGAAAACTTCAAAATCAGCTTTGCCACACAAGAAGTCCATCGCACCCTAAAAGCCTTCCAACACGGCGTCCTGGGTCTGCAATCACCAGTGTAAACCGCAAGGTGTTTCGTTAATGGTTGCAACTGGACATTAGCAGCCACAAAATCAGGAGCAGCTTGGCTTGGACTGGACTGTCCGTGTTTCGTTGGCTGCCTCACGTGACAAGACCTCGTTGCGCTTTGGGCAAAATCAACCTGGGTTGTCTCTTCCCGTTTCCATTCACAGTTAACTTGAAGTTCTTTCCAAACACAAAAAAGAGAAAGCCACACGAGAACGCTTTGGGATCAAAAAACGAAGAAAAAGATTTAAAAGAAGAAAATGAAACCAAATCCATTTTCAAACCTGGGTTCAAAACCTGAGATTCTCCAAAAACACTCAAGGAAAGCCACACGAGAACGCTTTGAGTCAACCAAAAGCCCCCGTGGAACTCAGAAAAGGACCTGTGCAAGACATCCGCTACTGTTCCGATCCACCGAGTCCCCCCGGTTTGGCATTACTCTAGTGACCTGAGGGCAAACGATCACGAAAAGACAAGTTCGAATATGGAAGATGCAAGTCTCCAGCAATCTTCCCCCAAACGAAACAGCGATAAACCTCTTCGTCTCCCTGAAAGGCAAAGCCAAGGAGGAATTGGAGAATGCCAACGTGACGAAAATCAACGACAAGGACGGCATAAAGTTCATCCTTGGCACTTTGCGGGCGGCTCTGAAGACTGGAGCCAGCTACCAGAGTGGAAGTACATGTACAACTTTGAGCAGGTGTCTTTTTTTTGGCGTGGTCAGGCCTCGTCGACGGCGGCTGCCGCACTCGGTCCCAAGGAAATTGACAAAAAGCAACAAAGAACAAGAAAGCTACTGAAAACGGTGAAACAAGCTGCGACTACAGACGTAGCCGGAAAAAGTCGTTCAGCAGTGAATTACCGGTCATATTAATCTCAGCCTCGCTCAGATGCCCCGCTTTCCAGATTTCAGGGTCGCGTGCAGCGCGTCCAAACGGCAGTAAGACTGCGAGCAACCACACCATGATGCAAGACAGGTTTCCGTGACATTGCAGACTGCCTGCGCAGCACCACGAGGCTTGCAGAAGTGAAATAAGGCGCCCATTCGAACAGAACCACCATGTCATAACTTACAGGCTGCAACTCATTTGCAGAGTTCGCCTGACATAGAGTGGTCATCCATCCTACCACTTAAACACTGTGTTCACGCATCGTCGAAAACGGCAGGTGTCCCGGTTCCGAACGAAGGGGTGTACTTTTTGCATCGCTATCACTGGGTTGGAGCGGGCGCTGTAGGTCAGCGGCGTCGACGTCGAGCCCATGTTTGACTTCGAAGCACGTGGTGCCAGATTCCGGTGATTTTGATCGGCGCCGGGCACTTTCTTCACTTTGACTTGATCAAGAAGGCGGGAAACTGACCACCGGTCAGTTCCCAGGTGAGTAGGGAACGGAAAGAGCTACAACACCACGTCGACCGCGGAGGCTCCGAAGATAACGAGGTTCCGGACGGTCTGGCCAAGATCCGGGAGGAAGAGGTGGCGAGACCCAGGACTGCGACGAGAAGCTGCTTTCCGACAGCGCAAGTAACGCTGTTCTGGATACGGCGTGCCAGAAAGTGGGAAAGACAGCGGGAAATGCATTATTGTTCTAAGACCGTGCTTGTATCATGTTCCTCTTGAAATTTCCAACTTCGCATTTCATGCCAACATGTTTGAGCACTCAGGGTATTGAACGCTTTGAAGACATCGCAAGAAGGGATCAATCGAGTGGAAACTTTCCGCAGGACTTTTTTAGTGGGATTGCTCGTCTGTTTCTGCGACGTGTACTTCGGATGATATCCAGTGTAGTTGCATATATATGTATGGGGCCACTTATGGTAACCTTTTCCAAAACCGCAAAATAATGTCACTACAGCCGCTTTTGCCACATTGTCACTACAGAGTCACTACATATACTACAATGCCACCACAACGTCACTAAGAAAAACATGGCAGATCGTCAAGCAGGTCTACGAAAGCCCCGGCTTCGGCAAG